TTTTTAGGGCAGTACACCATCATATTTTGAGATTGTCTGGTTGCTGAATATGGGATTGAGAAGATTATGCATTGCAGATGGTCAGCAGTCCTACCAGTTGGAAATCTGCTGTGAAATACATAAAAGGCACTCTACCGTATATTACATTTGTCCCTGTGTGCAGTCATGTCAGACATTTTGTCCCATTCAAGAATAATTTCTGTTACCCCTGTAATATATAGTTATATTTTTAGAATTCATATAAAATCCATATTTAACTTTTTATCGTTGATGTTTTTGTGGAGTTTAAAAAAACATGCAATGGGACTTCAACGGTGCAAAACCTGCATTTATATGTCCGCGTGAGAAGCATTCATTAGGGACTGTTCAACTAGAGACATCAAGTATCCTTTTGCATGCTGACCAAAGGAGACTACTGCAAACTGGTAATTTCTAAGGAAATTATTGCTTTTATCAGTAAATGCAGCCTTTATGAAATGAAGGACCATGACATTGACTGGAAACAGACCAAATGCCAATAGGCTCCATAACACGTTTCTCTCATAGCTAGGTAAGTGCACCTCTGCTCTAACTTGAATAATTCAATCCTTTCATTCTTGGGTATCTGCCAGTTCGGTCTGGTTATCCATTTCTTGGCCTTTGTCTGATTATTCATTTTTACACACAGCTGTTTAGACAAGTAACTTTTTTAATGTAGTGTTTTGTTCTGAAATATTGATGACATTGTAGTAATCAAACATGCAGACTTTGCATGCACAATAGAACAATCTTAGACACAATTGTCTTAAGACTCTTCGCCCTGTAAATAAGGTTGTGCTTCTCCCTTAGCTGCACAGGGATGCTTTTCTGAACCTTTAACATTTTTTCCATCTGATCCACAAAAAAGAATAAGATATGGCCAAAGCAGCTGCTACAAGTAGATTTAATGGAAAGGTAAATCTAAGGCTTGATGACTCCAGTTCCAAAAGGAGCCTAGATTGCCTGGCAAATGATGAAACAGATGTTTTAGTAGAGATGTTTATGGAGATTGTCAGTTCTTAACCTTGAAAGTGAACCATGCTGTTAGTATTTTTCCAAGAGATGGGGAGTGTGAAAGATGAGTTAAAATTGAGCATGAAAAGATCAAACATGCTTTGGAAAGGCTAAGGTTGCAGCCTCAAAGCCAAAGGTAATTTAAAGCCAATTTTTAAAAAGGCTAGGATAAAAGAACTCTATTATGAAAGGTGTCTTTTTTTAGGAAAATCTATACCAAAATATCAGCGAGGTAGCATGCTAGTGGTCAGAGCTTGCTGGCCCAGTTCTGTTAACGGTTTGGCCATTAATCAGACAGTGTTTTGAAAACTTAACTTAGTCTTTTGTGACTGAATCCCTCTCTAAAGCAGCTTTAATCCTCATGCAATGAATTACTGTACACTTGTGGTATCAGTTAGCAGACCTAGGAAATCCTATCTCTCAGAGAGTGTTTGTCTGTCGAGTCATGCATTCATTCTTGTTATATGATGCACATGAAACTGCAATAGCCCACTGGCATTTATTCAGAAAGGTTCAGAGTTTAATTCCTTTGTAAAATGAAATAAAAAGTATTTCCTTAGGATTTAAGTAAGAACCTTGTATTTGTCGGGTTTCGCTGTGCAGGACAAGCAGCAAAAGAGGCTGCAGAAAGAGAGGAGCTGTTGGTGTGTAATTACACATACACATTCCTCATGGGACCAGAGATTAGGAAGGGGTTATCACGTGAGGATCTGAATCCTTGCAGCAAATACATTTGGAAAATGGTTCCTGCTGGCACAGTGTAGTATTGTAAGGTGGTGAATCTCTGTAATCTGTTTATTAAAATGACATACTTCCCTTGGTATGCCATATCCTGTTTATTTCCCCTCCATAATTGCTGCCTAAATCAATGGGCTTATTGTGGTTGTTGGCTCTAAAGCCATGAAGATTGCTACATTTGATTTTTTTCTTCCTTTTCTAGTAACACCCAATGTTGTACAGGGCTATCTCATGATGCATTAAGAATTTGAGGCAGGAAACGCTACAGTACGTACTTTGCAATACTACTAGGCACTTGTGAGCATGGGTCTGCTATGAGTGCCACAGTACAGAAGGCCCAGAGTTTCAAAGGACTGTGACACATTTACATTTCTAGTGCAACAATAGGCCACATTCTTTAAAAAAAAAAACATTAACAGGTATTATGTGAACAAATACTGCATTTTAAATCAAATACTTCAAACTCCTATAGAGATGCAAATCTGATTCACAGACAAAGCACAAGGTTATCAGTTAAAATTGTATATTCTGTCCTGGTTTTGGTTGTGTTTTATTGCGCAACCTGTTGCACAAATGAATAACAAATTTATAATCGTCTATGCTGGAATTGCTATTAGTCATCTATTCTATTGTCATTTCCCACATTGTGGTACCTGGCAGGGCAGGATGTGCAGCTTAGTTCATGGCGTTTTTCAAACCCATTTTCCATTACAGAGTAAGGAAATCTCAAAAGCAACTTTACTGAAAAAAGAAGCAAAATCAATACAATTGAGAAGGAAACATGAATTGAATATTAAACAAATGTGAAAAGAACATCCCACCAACACCAGTAGTACTTAACCTGTCTACATAAGGTAGAAACATGGTACAGTATGCTGGGATTTGCATGTTTTATCTCTTATAATGTGACATTTAAAATAAATGTCAAATGTGTTTTAGCTCCTCGATAATAATGACTTTCCCTCCAATTTATGTATGCATAATTTGTAGTGGCCCATATGTGTGATTTCTGTATAATATTTTAGTAGTAGTTCTTTTAAGCATCATTTCATAGTCATATGTCTCCATGTTAAGCAGGAATGTTCCTTCACCTTGGTTTTTTGTGCAGTCCTGCAGCTTTTCTGGAAGACTGGCATTTCATTCAGCAGCTATGAATGAAAGTGGTTTTTACATGTAGACATTTACAATCCACCCACAAAACACGGCACTGTTTTTAGACCAAATTGTCTAAAGGAAATTCTACCTTGTCTTCTAGAGGACATTTTAGTGAGGGTGGAGTCAGTTTAAATTTATGAGTAGCTATAAACCAATTTGACACTTCGTCTGTGGTAAACTGACGCACTTCTGTGATGTATAGCTGCATTGCATTTTGGTTCAATTATAACCATAAAAAAGACAAAATAAAAAAATACATGATTGATAGTCTACTTTCATCTTATTGTCTACCACACAAACACAGAGGATTATTGACTCATTATAACTGTCTGTCCAATTGCAACTAATTATGCCTTCTGCATTACTTTCTCTAGAAGCAGATGCTTTGGCAATCCTACAGACATATCTACAGTACAATGCTTGACAGACCTAGAGTCTCTCACTGTCAGGAAAACAAAAACATTATTGGTGTGCTGCCTGTTTAGGCTAATTGATTGCGTTTTAAATCTTGTTCAAACTTACTTTTGATGAACACTGTATGTTTTGAGAATCACATTGTATTTCTGGGTGCCGTCATAGCCTGATGCATTTTTCACGGAGAGGCAGGCCTTCATTGTAAAAGGACACATGCCAATCTGACCACATTTATGTGTTAAAAGATTGACAAACAATAGCAACGTTTCCAATGAATCTGTAAAGATGGATAATTTGATGTACCTAATCCAGCTAATGGCTGTAGCTAATAGTGTTCGAAGGGTAGATTATTCATAGCATTTAGGAACCTGCAAGGAGTTATGGGGTGTGAATGAATCTAAACTTGTTTTAATCTTCCATTTTGTTATTCTGGCTGGAAGCAAGGGATGTACAGTATGGCCCTGTTTTTAATGAAGGTCTTCACTGGTTATTTGACGCCGACACCACTTTGCAAAAAGTTTGCTTTCTTTTTTCATAAGGATGAAGTCTCGGATTGATTATTTGCCCCTTAGGGGGTGATTTATTGTGCTGTTCTTTTTACTGCATCTTTAGAATGTCTTGATTTGAAGAACAATTGATTGATGTTCTTCAGTTGATTGATGGGACTAAATCTTTATGACTACGGCACAGTACAGGCTAGCTTCAGATCTGGCCTCTCTCGAGCTATTGAAGCAACGTCTTGTTCCCTTAGAAATATGTGAGCATTTTTTGTACAAGTGTTGTTGTTCTTTTATTTTTTCTCTGTGACACAAAAAACATTATTTCCATCACTTATCAAATCTGCTAGTTCTTAAAATTGTTCTTAATCCAATTTCACATTGCTTTTGTTTTCAAATGTTTTTCAAGTGTATTCAAGTGCCACCGTGACTAGAATTTGAGTGATACTGTAACTATCTTCTAATATGTATGAGGAAGATCTTGGCAGATTTAGGTATCAATTTTAATGGCTTTTTTGCCTTACTTTAGAATAGAGAAGACTGAACCTCTGTAGCTGGTTTTATTCTGTGATGCATTGGGCAAAACAGTAATTGGGCTGGATAGTGGTCCCTTTATCAGCCTACTTGCATAGCTACTGCATCAGGTGAACATTAAATGGTTGACTTAAGGATTTAATTTGGGGCACATATCCCCATTCTGTCCTGATAAAGTAATATTTTAATTCTGCTATTGTCCTCTTCTGGGAGACATTATTGACTTATCTCCTTAAACTCTCAATACAACAGCAATTGCTTACACTTATATACAGTAGCACTCTTCTGGAAACTACAAAGCGCTTTACAGATAATGGGGACTCCCATCCACAACCAGTGTGTAGCCCCCACTGGGATGAGGAGATGGAAGCCAAAATACCCCAGTACGCTCCCCACACACCAGCTGTCAGTGGGGAGGAGAAGTCATTTCATAGATGGGGTCTATTAGGAGGCCATGATTGGTTAGAAGGTCAAGAGGAAATTTGGACAAGACACCTGGGTATCTCCTCAAACTCTCTTACATCCATAAATGGAGGATCTGTATCCTTATGAATTCCTTACCGTGAACAGTGTTTGAAGAGGCACTTGTAATAGTAGGACCATTAATATTCCTTTCCCCCCTCTCCTCAGAACAATCTAAGTGATGGCGGCAGCTCTTCCACTCACCACTCTTCTGGGGAGAGACACGGCCATCCTGAGCACCGGGCTGCACATAGACCGCTCCCCAAACACCGCTCCTCACAGGACAACACAGGGTCCTCCATACAGAGGGATGGGCCTGGGTCATTCTTGCTGGACCTCCACAACTTCCCTGACCTCTCCAAGGCAGACATAAATGGGCAGAACCCCAACATTCAGGTAACACCTTTCTCTTTCTCCTCTGATATGCCTGCTCTCTGTTATTCTCTATTGGGGTTTCTCTCTTCCCATTGCTAGCCACTCGACTGTGTTCTGATTTTACGGCGTTTGAGGGCCACTCAGAACAGTGAAGCTACAGTGTAGAATGAAAATCTCTACAACACACTAGTCACCGAATAAAAAGAATGTGGTTTCAGGGGATTCAACACAGTTAAAAAAGCTTATATTCTGCAGTGCTGTTTCCAAATTCTGAGTCATTAGATAAGTTGAATACTCAAACGATTGATACAAGATGTGCCTTTGATTTTTTTAGAGTATATCTTGTGATTCCATAGTTAAATGGATGTTTTTAGAGCTTTATTAAAAGCCCACTGCATGGCTAAAACAAATAGTACTTGAGTGTGTATTGCACATAAAAGCGAACAGGAAGAGATCTTTGCCTGCATAGCCCACCCTTGCTGGCCAAGCCCACTAGGCAGCTGCTTTGCAACCAGGAAGGAGCCTAATGCACTGTTGCACACCATTAATTCTTTTCACTGGGATCCTTTTCAATGCACTAAGCTAATAACCCACACTAGATTCTTGCTTCACTAAGTTCAACTTTAGAGTGAGGTTCATTTGCACTGCTTTCATTTTAAAAGTTTGCCTTTGCACTTGTAATTTACAGTTTTCTATTTTTTTTTCCGGACTTAATAGTTTCTTCATCAACATCAGGTTGTCTGGGTTCTTACTGAATTCAAGCACAGTAAACTGAGTAATATATTCTTGATCACAGAGCTCTTATTTAATTGTGTTTTATGGAATAAAGATTATTTCTGACAGGAAAAGCAAGGGACTACATTCTCCTCCATGTGCTTCACTAGGGAAATAAAGCATTAAGTAAAGCCAAGTGTAATGTCATGGTCTTATTTCTACAAAAAAATGAACCAAGAGTTGCTTTATATTTTGAAGCCCATAATTTACTTAAAGCTTTGTCATAAGTGATATTATGAGTGATATGGGAAGATCATTCTATGTGATGGCTCAGTGATTACACAAAATTCAGTACTTTGGGTTTCCTTTTTTGTTAGGGGAGATCAAGGTGTTTTAAAATATTAAATGTGTGAGGAAACCATGAGTTACACCATAAATAAAAGCTGTTCCTGCAGCTGTCCCATCATTGTATACGGGCAACTGTAAGACCTCATCACTTTCTCTAAGGAAATCAATGAATGTAGATGCGGCACATAATGGTGTTTAAAAGTCTTGGCTTGATAAAAACGCCAGAAAAATATGAACCTACACTAAATAAGGTTTTAAGAAAAGTTATTTATGTGGGGAAAAATACTGAAACCATATCTTCATACTGTATATTGAATTAGATATTGCTTTGGTTCTCAGTGGACCAAGACCCCAGATTTATAGAAGATGAAATTTAAAATGAGTGAGTTCATAAACATGTCAAGATGTGGCCATTTGTGAAGGGCTGACATTCAGTTGTTTCTGGTTGAAAGTTAGATCTTTGATCTTTGTTTCATCTGGTCTGCTGGAGTTTATAACTGACTTGCTTTGAACTTGACAATAAGGTGTAGAGGTCTAATCCAGGGACTGCCGTTTATATGCAGATGCACAGTATATAAATCACTTCATCTGGGAGGCACATGTTTAATGCAATAAGATCATAAACTACTGTTCTGCAGATAATGGCGATTCAGGGAGTGTCATTTCAAATAGCTTTGAAGGAAAGATTAAATGACAGCTGATGTTATCATGTTTACTGCAATCTACATATCTCTGTGCATTTACAGATAATAATAAAAATAATAAATAATAATTATAGATACATAGCTAATAGCTTGCATATAGCTTGCATTTATAGATATAGCTGATGACCTGGTTTCAATAGATCATGGTTTATTTCCTATAACAGGCCACACAGAAAATTCCAGCACAACATTCAAACTACAGGTTTCACAAAAAAATGTTTTTTGGAATGATTTACAAAAAATTAAACTTTTGCACATTTAAAACGTCAAACACCTCTGTTTTTTAATGGTTGAAACCATTGTAAGACAAAGGAGGGTAACCTGCCTAAAGACTCACGTTTGTCCAATGTGCTGTATAAAGAAATATATAGGAGGAAGGTTGTGTTGTCTGCTTTTCAAAGAAACATTGCAAGACATAGACAACAGAGCGGTGTCGTGTTGTTGGGATGCAGGTCACAATCGAGGTGGTGGACGCGGCGGAAGAGGAGCCTGACAAGGAGCTGCAGAAGGAGAACAAGTCCAGCTGGCCTTCGCCCAGCTGGAGGAACTGGTGGCAGCTCTCCACCTCCACGGCTCGCCATGGCGACAGCCAGCAGGAGTACACCTATGATGCCAACACGGATGACAGCAACTTCCTGAAGCCCCTGAGCGACTGGGACCGACGAGGAGGGCCCAGCCAGAGGAGTTTTGAGGCCAAGGCGCAGGCAGAGTATGGTGCGTTCACAACGCAGGCCCCACTGGAGGCCTTTGAGCTGAGCTGTTGTGCTTGTTAACAAACAGCTAGACGGGCTGAATGGCATCCATGTGTTTGGAATGGTTTTTATGTTCTTACACTGTGGTTAATGACATGACAATCAATTTATAGTTAACACAAAAGTGAATATGGTCTACTTGCTGCTTGAAGAAGTTAATGTTGATCCTCTGGCCTGTTTAAGAACTCAAACTAGCAAGTCATTTCATTCTACGAGGATGAAAACAGATGTTACGCACCTGCATATTTAGAAAAAACAGGAGAGGATCATCCTTCCATTTTCTAACCGCTTTATCCAATTCAGGGTCACGGGGAAGCATGGGCATAAGACAGAGACAGGATACACCTTGGACGGGACAGCAGACACAAAGACACAGACACGCTCGCACCAGGGCCATTTAACCCACCAGTATGTCCTCCCACCAGTATGTGGGAGGAAACCAGCGCACCCGGAGGAAACTCATATATATGTAGTTTATATATATGTCATATAATTATATGTCATATAATTATTTTCCATTGAACAGTCACACATTTTCGCATAAGGATACATATTGTGTTAATGTAAAAGAATGTGAGCTACCTATTAAACGCCTTCTTACAATGTCTCAACATGTCTGAACCACTCGTTCTTTCATAAGCAAACTACAGACACTGTAAAGAGCTGTCTGTCTGTTATTCCTCACTGACTCAAATTTGGGTTCCGGCCTTTAGAATTATTTCCGCTTGCCTAATGTGGGTGATCTATAATCTGATCCATATTATTCTCCAGAGTAAAAAAAATAAAGCAGTTATGAGAAATAACTTTTGGAGGCATATCAGAATTCAGCAGTTCTGGGCTGTGAGAAGATTAAATGACTTAGCTGTGTGATTTCCTTTGTTATTTCTTGAGCTGAAAGGAAATCGTGTGTGCAGATTGTACACAGCAGGTACTTGTGCACATCACAAGACCTGCACATGGTTTGATACAGTGTGATAGATGGTTAATTGATCACAGTCGTGTGACGGTGTTACCTTAGCAGGAGCTAAAAAAGGTGGCTGAGAGTACTTTGCTTGAATATGCCCAATACAAATATCCCATTTGCCATACGTAAAACACACTATTTTTCAATTAAATAGTCCATTAGCTGAAATGTGAACAATACCTTTTCTACTGTATTTACTTTGCTATTTATTAAATACTCTATATTTCAGCTTTCAGTATTGCAAAAAAGTGCAGTTTATTTTCTAGGTGGGATTGTCTTGTTTTGTGATTTTGTTTTGCAAGAAGTTGAAAATACAAAAAAAAAACAACAGAGGTAAAGGACAGATTTCTCTATGTAACAGAGTATTATGACAAGGATTCCAGTTATCAGCAGTGAACCATTAGGGAGGAAAAAACTTACATGGAGAACTTCAGCTTCACTAATAGTTGTTTTGCAGTGAAACTATTTGAATTTATAGAGTGTTTTTACTGGTCCACTGGACCTTTTAATAAGCTCATTATGGATAAGACAATTAAGAATACTTCTGGTTCCCAGATTGTATTGTAAAGCAGTATGTGAGGAGCTTTCACTTGCCCATGAGAGGTGGGAGATGAGTGTGTATTATTTAGTTGAGATTTAAATCAATGAATATCTTATTGCAAAAAATGTCTCCTTAGGTTTTGGTAACAGCAGATTTTAAGAAATGGAATTCACACTCATCGGTGCTCATTGATATAACAGGGCAATGTAGTCTGTCTTTTTTTCATTTTTCTACAAAGTAGGTCAGTGTTATTTGGGACTGAGACAAGCAAAGCAGTATTGAATTTCAGTGAAATTCTGTGGATAAAACAAAAAAAGTCCTTTGTATTTTGGCTACACTGGAAACGTGTTTAACAGGGTCTTTGTTGAACTCTTCAGAGCATTGTTGTTGGTTATACAGTAGGTGTTTTCCTGTCATGAATGCATACAGTGAATAAAATAACATCAGACATCAGCATAAGGCTAAAAACAGACATGAGACTGTAACTGTGGTTGAACTGGGCCAAATCTGAAGTTTTTATGTGAGCTGCTATGTATTTGTATAATGAACCTGAGCGATTACAGCTGCATCAGAAAAGCTGTTTTTGTAGCTGCTAGATAGATACAGTAGTAGTCTCCAGAACACACCCCCGCACCAAAGCAATTTTACATCTTGGATATAAAGCTTTTAAACTTGTCCGGCTGTGAACAGTGAAAGAACAACTACAGACATAGTACTTAAACAGCTGAGGCACATCGTGGAGTGAAACAAAACTTCTGAAAACACACCTCTTCCAGACTCATTCTCAAGTCATGCGTGAGGGATGATTTATCTCCACGGTCCCCTTTTTTAATACGCCCTCTCTTCCGCACTTTGGTAACACAGACAAAACCGGGGATATTGCGCAAATGCGCAGGCTTCTGCTTTTACAAGGAAATATTTTGTGGTTTACAGGGACGTAGCTGACTAATAAAGCCTAGCCCTCCACCACTGGAGATTTACAGCTGAAGATTCCCAGCTGCCCAAAGCTCTGGGAGAGCAGTTTTAGTTTTGTTGCTGCTGCTGGTGGTGGTGGTGGTGGTGGTGGTTAAGTAGAAGAAAATGTGCACTGTGGGCCCATGCAATGCCCCACGTGTAAAAGCCATTTATAGAGGCATGCTAATGGCAAGCTGGCGGCTGGCCTAGGCTGCAGGTACCAATAACATATGGCCCCAATTAATGTTGCAGTGGAATTGCTGGCAGCCGGCTGACTCTCCCTCCTCTCCTCTGTTGTTTCCTGGTGTCCAGATTACATTGACGGGGAGGGGGACTGGAGTTCCTGGTCAGCGTGCAGCGTCACCTGTGGAAATGGGAACCAGAAGCGCACGCGGTCCTGTGGGTACGCCTGCACAGCCACAGAGTCCCGCACCTGCGACATGCCCAACTGCCCAGGTCAGTCAGCCCCCGAGGCCGTTTTTCTGCACTGCCGGGGAAAAAAAGTGAACTCGTAAAAACTTTCTAAAGGGCAAAAAAACCCCACTTTATTTCCAGAGCCAAATTAGTTAACCACTTCACCTGAAATGAATACTTGCTGGAGAAAATCAGCTTGATCTCTGCTTTACTCTCTGCTGTGCACATGTTCAGGAGTGTTTAAAAAAATGTTGGGGGAACATTTACTTGTGTCTTTTCTTCAGCCCCCAAGGAAATCTTGTTTGGGAACATGCTCATTCCAGAAGGCACAAAATACACAAGACATGTAAAGGCTTCATTTCCCATTATTACTGGGAAATTACTGCAGCTCACAGAGCATCGATGATACAAACCCTGTTTGGAAAAAAAAAAACGTTTCCTTGGATTCTAAAATGACACTGTTTAGATCTAATGTTATCCATCCTTCTAAAGGACTGTATTTTCATCTTGCGCATCATTGTTTGTGGCCCCAGGGATTGAAGATACCTTCAGAACTGCAGCGACAGAAGTCAGTCTTCTAGCAGGAACCGATGACTTCAATGCCACTGAGCTGTTTGGTGTTGGTAAGTTTTCTTTATGAAAGAAAACTTTATTTCTCTTGGTTTTATGGATGGTTTTACTCTGTACTACTGCTAAGGAGCTGAGGGTTGACTGTCTTTTTAAAACAGATGTTTGTGTCATTTTTAACAGGACACAATGAGAATCCCGACTATTTCTTGTCATTTAGATGTACAGTTAATTTCCTTAACCTAATTAATGTATTGAAATGAATTAAGCAATCTAGGGGAGCAGCTCCACCTATATACAGTATGTCATGCTCTGAAACGGAATCTCTGTTCTTCATCTGACTTCAGCAATGAGGGAGAACTCACAATGAAACAAAGCATTCCAAGTGTTCTTTTATTGTGTGACCCATAAAACTGCTTGACTGTGACCTAATGCCTTCCAGATACTGACAGCTGCGAGAGATGGATGAACTGTAAAAGTGAATTCTTGAAGAAGTACATGCTGAAAGTGGCCAACGACCTTCCCAGCTGCCCCTGCGCCTACCCTACGGAGGTGGCCTATTCCACTGCTGACCTCTACGACCGAGGCATGCGGAAAGAGTTCCGCTGGAAGGACGCCAGCGGCCCCAAAGAGAAGCTGGAAATCTACAAGCCCACCGCCCGCTACTGCATCCGCTCCATGCTGACCTTCGAGAGCACCACGCTGGCCGCCCAGCACTGTTGCTACGACGACACCATGAAGCTCATCACCAGGGGCAAAGGGGCGGGCACGCCGAACCTCATCAGCACCGAGTTTTCGGCCGACCTCCATTACAAGGTGGACATACTGCCCTGGATTATCTGCAAAGGGGACTGGAGCCGCTACAATGAGGCAAGACCTCCGAACAACGGTCAGAGGTGTGAGGAAAACCCTTCTGACGAGGACTACTACAAACAGTTCCAGGAGGCCCGGGAATTCTAATGCAGTGCTCGCTGACGTTTTTATCCAGGAGGGAAAAAAATTGAATCTCGCGGCTGTGCAACCACTTTATCTTCCTTTTGTTGGACAAGGTTTAACAAAAAAAAAGCTCTATATTTGCAGGACTTCTGCTTAACATCTCTGACACAGACTAAATTATTCAGGGTGCAAGAGAGGCATAGCAGATTCCTATATGTTATCCTGTATAATTTAAATTCCTCTCCAGAAGTACAAAGGGCAGTTCTGTGTGCCGCAGTGATAACAGCAAAGTACAGTTAGGGTCTTTATATTCTAATATCATAAATCTTTCAACACTATTCACAGTAAAACTGTTGAGATTTTTTTTTTTGGGGGGGGGAAATGACTCTTGTCTAATCTGTCATTCAGTGTCGGGTCTTCAAAGGAAGGGACCGTTAATTTCTGTTGCACAAAGAAAAGAGAAAAAAACTCCTAGAAGACTTTTTTTCTGATGGCAATTTTTAGTTCCATCTGCACAGTGCAATCATAAGTTGGAACAATTACTAGGCACAAGGACAAATGGAGCTAAACCACCGGGGACTTGGCAGCTTGGTGATGTTTCACTTGTAGTAGAGACTGAGGCAAGTGCATTGTGCTTGAAGAGAAATATATCTGCCTGTTCCTTAAAATGCAGACAATCAAAGGGAATAATATACTTGCATGCCTAAACAAAATATGTGGCACACAGACCACGAGTTTCAAAACATTTTCTGTGAATAGAAATTATTTACAGGGACTCACACCATAAACAAAGGAAGTGGCACTTTTGTATGTAAAGAGCTTGAACTATCCCCCACATTTGCTTGGGTATAATATTCAGGTTCACATCTAAACTTATTAGCCAGTTTATTTAGCATGCACCAAATTCTACAAATAATTCTACAGTGTCCTACTGTTGTTGTTTTTTTTGTTCTGGTACTGACAGCTCTTTTTGATGTTGAAAAAGGTCTGCATTATTTTTGTAAAGTATTTATTGAGTTGTAGCAATATCCCAAACATTGGGAGTTCTTATGTGGTCAGTGTTTGGTATAAACAAAAAGGGATGCGTGCATACGAATGTACCATGGGACCTCTGGGAATAAATAAAATCATAAATGAAATTTATAAAAGACGTTTTTTTTTCTGCTTTCACTTCAAGGGAGTGGTTGATTTTCAATTACATCTAAGAGTAGCCAGATGAGAGAATTCTGTAGAGCAGATGTTGAAAAGACAGATGTTTCCACTATCTGTATAGCTTCACTGCTAATATTTTCTAATGTTTTCCACAGCTGATTGTTTCAGAAATGAAGAAACGGGTAGTGACTCACCTGCATTAGCAGCTTTTGAGACTCCATAAGTGATCTCTAATACTTTCTCAACTATCAGTATTCAAACATTTCGTCATGCCAGTCTATAAGACAACAGAAATACTTATTAAAACGTATTTCAATGCATGATTGTATTTTACAATGTCAGTTTATAGTGAAAAGTATCTTTTACTTACTTTGCTCTGCTCTTTTTAAATACTAACAAGATCGAATGATGAACTATTGAGTCCAAAATAAATTCTCAAAAGTGAACTGGACAACTGAAACTGAGAAGAAAACATCCCTAACGAATTTAGTTGAAGACATTGCAATAATTCAACACATTACAGCTCTTTTTAAATACAAAATAGTAAAAGTTACTACGTCTCAAAAGGATACTCATCCTTCTGTGTGTCACAGTTTTAAATTAGTATGCTGTAAGCATTGAAATTAAAATCCTGTATTGTCAACCTGCAACACTTACCTCAACTCACAACATTAAAACTATTTGAAGAGGAGATTATATATTAAAAAATGCCTTGGAAGTGAAACTAAAATAATGTACAGTGCCCAAACTTATCACAAATTTCACACCCTTGTGAGAGTTTTATAACTCTAATCTCTCTGGGACATATGTAATGAATTCTAAATCTTTTCAATTAGATCTGCTAAAAACAATGGGCAAAATTTCCCACCTGCATTCCAGTCATGGCCTCCTAATAATCCCCCTCTCCGAAATGGCTTCATTACTCTGCTCTCCTCCCCCACTGATATCTGATGTATGGTGAGCGTTCTGGCGCACTATGGCTGCCGTTGCATCATCCAGGTGGGGCTGCACACTGGTGGGGGTGGAGGGAAGTCCCCATTACCTGTAAAGCCCTTTGAGTGGAGTGTCCAGAAAAGCACTATATAAGTTTAATAATAACTATTATTTTCACAGTCATTTCTTCGACATGTCATAGACATCTCAAACTTTTAGAGAAGATGGCACATTAGCCCCATCTATTGATACATAAAAATGCAGTGCTCTTTTTGTACATGATCTATTGGGCTGCATTTGGACTCATGATGTTTGATTACATGTTTATTACTACAGTTAATCTCCTAGTAAGTCCCTCCATTTTTTTTTTAACCAGAAAAGGACATTTCTAGGATTGCAAATTTCTCTTTTTTAAGAACCTACAGTTCAGAACAATTATAAACAAGAGGAAGCCATTCAGCCCATCTTGCCTAAGTGGCAGTTAGCAGCTAATTGATTTGCGGATTTTATCCAGCTTTTGCTTGAAGGAAACCGGGATATCGGCTTCAATAACATGGCTGGGAAGCTCGTTCCATACTCCCACAACCCTTGAGAGCAATACAACAGTTTAAAATCCTCTAATTACTCATACATTTGCAACGTACATACAGTAGATTATTGCAAGTGTATGAAATAGGATTTTGCAAAACTCCTTAAATATTTAATCATGGGTTTTAGGTATTTATCAAACTGTTTAGGGATTTCATAAAATCCCTGGTTAATTTTTTAGGGATTTAATGAAATCCCTGGTTTCAATTCTTACTTTAACATGTATAACTTCATAACAAGATGGCACTGAATCATAAAGTTTCAACTCAATCCATTATGATGTGCTAAAAATAAAGTAGAATAAAGTAGAAATAGGAAGTCTTGCTAAAATGTGCATTAATTCTATTTTTAATAAAACTTCTGAAGCTACAGTATTGCACAAGATTCCTGCAGTGTTCTATTGTGTGTGGAAGTGCTACAGTCCTTTTGATTATGTTGTGCAATACTTTCCTTTTTCAAACACAGCTCTATTTCTTAGTTCCCTGCACATATGCGTTCTGAATTCCTCCTTTAATTTTTCAGGGTACACACACATGTGACTCAGAGGTGCTAAGAACAAAGAGCTGTCAGAAAGTATGAACACATACTTTTCTTCTTTTCAGTGAACGATTCCTGCAGGAAACAGACTAAGTAAACAAGCCCCTTTCTGAAGAGATGACTTTTCTTATGTCCCTTTATTTAGAACCATTATTTCCGGCACTTCATTTACAATGTATCCTTCAGCATACAGGCACCAGCATGCACACAGAAGCCAGAAAATATCTCTGCAAAGTAACAGCAGACTATAATGGGAATTTTGGACCCGGGCTTTTTGTGAACCGTCTTTTAAACATGTCGAAATGGTTTATCATTCCCCTTGTGCTTTTCACCCTTATTATCCTGTTTCCTTTCTGAAACTATAACACCTGGCAATAACTGGACACACAGTACAATCCCTACCACAGATATCGTGGTGCCAATACTTCACCAGATATAACTGACCCCAACCCCCAGAGATGAAACTATTTTTTACATTGCCAAATTTATCTACAATAGTTTATCTACAATTTATCTAATGTTATTGTAGTCCAATGTTTAAAATAGGAGTTGTTTTAGATCCTCCTAATCACAGTCTCTAGTGGATAAAAGGAAATGACTAGCAAAGGTAATTAACAGATCACTAAGGGCCACATTCTTCACTCTCAATTGGCCGTTGTCAGTAATGGGACAAAAACACTAAGGCTCAAGTTAAAAATTTGACCCTCTCGCCAGTTGCAAATTCCAGACTGACGGCTTGATCATGTCTGTTTGCAGTAAGGTCGTTACATCTAAGCTAATCAAAAATGTAGTTGCTGAACACTGGATATGGTATCTACCATTGGTGGTTGGGATAAAGGTTTGATTTAATTCAGGCCTCAATCATTTTAAGGTATTGACATAACCACCATTAACCCTTTCTGTATAACTGGTTCATTAAAAGCTAAGGTAGTATAATAAACAGAAAAAACAGTTAATTTAAAAGATAACATTATTCTACAGGCTTGGCAGGGAGGAGTAAGACATTGGTCCAGAATAAAAACCTGTAAAATGTGTTTTTACAATGCCTTTTAAGTTTAGAACTAATCCTGTTCCTGATCATCTCCAAGAGGCACCACATCCTTAGAAATAAGACTACAGTTTCCAAGACTAAAGAACAACTGATCTTTATCTAATCAGACAGTCTGCTTGTGAAGCCAGGCAGATCAAAGGAAGGTGCTTTTATTTAGCAATATGTCAAGTTAAAAAGAGTGTGGCGGCAGACCAACGATCTGGGCAGGCTCCACACTACTTCTGTGCGGGCAGCTCAAGCTGGGCCTCTTGTCCTTACTTAACTATGGTCTCCGCAAGATGAACAACCTCATTCCTCTGCTTTTGTGAATCAAACAAACAGGACCAAGTGAAAGTTTTAGAATATGCAGAGTATCCCACTTAGGCAATCTTTCTTTTGGTTTTATGTTAAAGATCACCTTAATAGTTTTGTTTTCAATCACTAAAAGCCATACATGATCAGTTGCATTTGTATTTTCTGATGTACCACATGTTAAAGCTTATGCATGAATAATCAAAAATTGTATTACTATAATTGTATCTTTGAGCACGTGGTATGTTTAATGCCGCATGTACAATGTGAAAGGGTTAGAAGTACAATCCTTCGGGCTCAATGGCTTCACTATATCACTATATCCTTGTGGTTAACTGGAAGACATTATGTGATATTTCACTAAAATTTAAAATTATGAACGGATTGTCTAGATCGATTATTAAACTGGAAAGGTAATGTAGTGCACTTTATGAAATTATGGTGAACCAATGTGGCGTAATGAAACCTGCGCTCCATCAACCATGACGTCCATACGAAATGTATTACTGTCATGGAGCAAGAACATGGAAAGCTGATCAGCCAGCCCGACATCACCGGGTTCAACCATAATACTCTGTACTTTCACTTCACTTGCTTAAGTCTGATGCAGCTGAAGTCGGTTGAGGTTTTGACCACAGACATGTAACTTCCGCTTGCCGTCGTGTTTACTCCCAAATACATAACATCTGATATTAAACCCGGCATCAAGATGGAAACATGGAAACTGGTAGGAAAACCATCCTCTGGGATTTACAAGTCTGACGTGGTAGATAACCTATTCTTACTGTCAGTATGTATTACGATTACCCAGTTCATGGCATGACTTGCCACTCTTGCCCATCACACAAGTACCCCCCCCCCCCAAAAAAAAAGAGCGTACCATTTTGTGGAGTATGTCAACGACAGCAACACAAGTCTCGTCTTTTGACACGGCGCAGATGTGGCAGCAATTTTTAGATCCCTCTGCCTCTTTATGGGTGGTGTAGCACATTTCAGGAAGTCTCTAACCGCAATGCCACAGGGCCGCCATTGCATGGGAGACGTAATTAAAAGGCTGCTTTACATCTTGTAATCTGAAATAGTTGACCCGGCTCTCAGGGTCATCAGTTAGACTGCCGGCATCACTCCGTGTTTGCTGCCAGTTGGGAGAGTTTGGAAGTGGAAGCCAAAAAACGAACTTGGAGCACAGCTGAACAAATAGGTTAAGTGGCTGCTGTGCAATGAGAAAGAGAACTGTTAACTCTTCTGCAGCCTCTCGCATCAAATCTCGAGAAGGCTCTTCACCTGTCCCCATGTCACATGTCACATTCCTTTTAATAAAGCCGATTGGCAGTGATGTCAGCCTGGCAGCAATCAAGACTACAGATTACTAACGGTAATAATTAACATCATCATAAACAAGTCAATTACAGTAGCTTCTGGAATTCCTTAGTTTTATAAGCAAGAGGAAGAAACACAGGGCTGGAACAGTTTCTAATTGGAACTAACCCAATGGTTTCCTGTTCTTTCCACTGATCTGGATTGGTTGAATCTGTACAAATAAGCATGCATAGAGCCCAACAACAAATCTTCCCTAAGCGTGACCTAGTGAAGAAGCACAGAACAGACAAATGCGTCTTTAGATTTCAAGCACAACCCCGACTGCCTCTGGTCCTGCCTTTTCTTTTCAATGAATGAATTAATATCACTATCTTTAAAAAGCGGTCGCACAAAACAGTTTTATCTTTTATGGTTCATCAACCAGCCCCCAATAAAAGAAATCATATTTCCAGCAGCACATTGATCATGCATTGATCATTTCCACCTCATTATGTTTTGTTTACAGACAAATCAACAATATAACCATAGACAGATTTTAATATGAATGTAGGACTATCAATTATTTTTTATTACATACCCACCTGATGTAGAAGTATGTCATTATGTGTTGAATTGGAATGATGACCTCTGTACTCATATGGAGGGAACAAGGAATTATAATAATTGCATCTGTATAGTGCTTTTCATGCCAACAAGTTTTAAGTGTAGGAGGAGACCCACTTCATCCACTATTGAAGAGCAGCACCCACCTGTGTGACAAGAGACAGCCATTCTGCCCCAGCAGTACCCCAACTCAGTAGTGCACGCAGAGACTGCTGGGCAGACAGGAAATGCGGACAGGTTCTTCTGACCATCTGGAGGAGAGAGACATCCCTGACCGACATCACCATAAGCCTGCAGGCACCTGGGAAGTTGCAGGGGTCATTGTTTCACTGGGAACCAGGAGAGCCCTGGGTGACTAATCCCAGCTCATGCAGGCGCTGAGTCAATCATGGAGCTCCGTCTGGGGAATCCCAATCACAGCTGGCTGGGAATTCAACCACGGCTTCAGGGTTTGAAATACAGATCATGGAACTCAACCTACACTCTGCGATTCTAGTTGAGCCTCACAGCCCTTTTTCAAATCCTAATTATTTCAACACTGAGAAATAGGACAATATTAGCTTCTCATACAGTATTCCCAGGTGACCATGTCTCTTGAATCTGTAATGCAAAATCACAATTATTACACAAAGCAACAACTGTTTACAATCATCATGACAGACATTGTACTGTTTGCAATAGCTCTAACAGGAGCCAAGGTTTGGGTCATTGGGAATTCGCTATCCACATGACAGAAAACAGAAGAAAAACACATCTGGAAGGTATAGTTTCCTCCCAGGAAACAATGGATCCATATGATTAAATACAAATCAAATGCATGTAAATCTCTATCACCCAGAGAACCTTGAGAGATACCGAACTCAACAGTCTTTAATGAATCATAAAATAACATGACTAGAAATAGAAATTCTAATAACATTGTGAGAGAATGGGAAACCCGAGAGACTAAAATGGATCACAAGAAGATTTTGACCCCTTGCCATTGATGAAAAGCTTAGATGAATGAGCTTATTTGTATCTGTCTGTGTCAATGAAGTAATTAGAAAAAATATATAGTGATTGTCTGGTGTTCACTTCTACAAATCCAATATTAGCAAAATAAAAGTATCTTAAATCTAAACACAGAATGAAAAATCAATCCAAAGCACATTGACAATGTTTCATTTGTTAGAAAAACGCAAAAATAAACAACCCACTGGCACTTTACATGGAAATCTGACTGTAAGGTGGTGTTCCTTCTTACAATAGCTTCTCTTGTGGGTACACCACACAGAGCAAGAACTGAGCTTGACTACAGTTCTAACACATTAAAGTCATTCAGCCTGTTAGACTATATTTAGTAAAGTAGCATCCGATGTGTAACAAAGGCGCGAGTGGGTACCGGCTCTGTTTATTTGTCGCGTTCAGATCGTTGCATGTTATGTACGGAAGGCAGCCAGTTGACGGGCTCACAGTGATTTACGCTGACAGGCGCTTTGGCATCTCAGGATACCAGCAAGCCAGTTGGGAGCTCTGCCTTTGATCTTTATTTGCACTGGAGTCTGGTTTGAATTTAGGGTCTTGCTGAGCGAGAAGCATTTGATATACCTTGAGTGGCCCAGGACCATTTAGTGTTTTAAAGATGTAGTATCCCTTTTCAAATGAGGGCCAAAAAAGAACAGAAGGAAAAACACAAGGGAATTAGAAGATGCATGGAATAAAAAAAAGCCTCTTTAATTGCATCAACAAATGATACAAAAAAATCTACTCCCTGAAATATTTTTTGTCTGTTTCAAACCATTTTGGCCCACTTCACCCAGGCTAACAGGTGTGAACTTCAGATTTTAATTAAAGCTGGAGATTACAGCATGCAAACTTCATCTGAGTTGCAGCCAAACCTCTTCTGCCAATAAAAAGTTATACTTTCTTTAGACTGAAGCACGCTATAATGTATGTTATTAAAAAAAAATACATAGGATGCAGACTGCATAATTTGCCCAAGGACAGATATGCATCAGAGTAAACCTATTATTTCTTAAACGATTGTAGACTGCATTCTGAGCCAATTATGACTCAGTTTTGGCTGGCCAAAGAAGGGTCAAAATGTCACAGGTGTAAAATAACAAACATAAAATTTGTGAATGCTGAATAACTTGCAAATTGAAGCAGTATATGGTATCATTCCAGTATTACATTTAGTATGTTTCTTTAGTCCCATTAACTCTGAATTGTGTATATTAACATACCTATTAATTTAGCAGTAAAGCAGAGGCATTCAGTAAGTCTAATTTACAGAGGGTTCATCAATTAAATCCTACTGTAAAAAGAGGTGAAGTTAAAACAATGTTGATTCTTGTAGCACCCTCTCTCCTGCACTACAGAGTGATTTTGTACCTCTGAAATAATTCAAAATGCACACAACTGCTGAGACAGGTGAATAAAATCTTGGAATAAAAAATGAATACACACAACCTCATGTAAAGGATTTGCATTAGGTACTGTTCTGCAAAAAAAAACACTTGTGAAAAAAGACTGCAGGCTCAAAGCACAGCCTGTCATAACGTTGTCAGTTATCCATAATTTTACATTAGATTAAATCATTTGTATCTTCACCCACTGTAGTGTTCTTGAATCTCTTTTTAACGTAGGTTATTGTCCAGTGTGTAATTTATTTCTAGACTATATATCTATTTCTGCCCACAACCAAGATAATAACATGGGAATCCGGTGGCTCGTGGAGTTCGGGCAGTAATCTGTTGCTGTCTTTCGTATCAAAACCAACCAAAGTCAGAGACATTATTTTTCTTATGATTTTGTAACTTATCCACAGCCTATACTACTGAAACCTTCTCTGTAGAAAACAATGGCTATAGTTCGTAGATCCGTCAAAGCTATCTAAAAATATTAACAACGTAATGCACATTACATTAGCATAAGACATGGTTGATACATACAGTATGCCATATCTTCCCTGCCTATGTAATATGCACACAGTATAGTATAGGACTTTGGCAGGTCCTCTAGTTTCGTTCCACCTTCCAAAGACACGCTGACTAGGTTAACTGATCTCTCTGATTTGTCCTGGAGTGTGTGTGTGTGTGTGTGTGTGTGTGTGTGTGTGTGTGTGTGTGTGTGTGCCCTGCGATAGGCTGGCATCCTGTCCAGGTTGTTGTCCTGCCCGATGCCTCATACTTCCTGAATCGTCAGTCTCCAGGTTGTCATGACCCTAACCAGGAATAAGCAGCGATCTGACCGTGGATGGATGAACTGCACTGATACAACATATGACATTGAGAAATATGATTTATTAAGAATTGCAAGGAGAGAAACATTTAAAACTCTCATTTGAAAATGCTTTCACCACCAACTTCTTTTAAATAGCAATTTCAAGTACTGCAAATAAAGCTGAATTAAGTGCGATGTCATGAATACAACATAAAAAAACATTCGTAAATCTGAGCTTAAAATAAAAGTAATATTGATCAAATCTGTCAAAAATAAATGAAATAAAATGTTTTGAATTTCTCCTTTAAATAAAAGCAAACAAATTTGGCTCATTTAAATTTCTATTGACTCTTTCATATGGGTGTGTCTACAGCATGTGCAGCCTATCTTTTCTCTTCACTTTAATATGAATTATTTTAAAAACTTGCCAAATTGCACAAGATGATTTGTAAATAACTAGGTAAAGCTTATATATACACATATAGATATATAAAATACAGGTCTATTTTAATGTAATTATACAAATAGAGTTAAGGACTCAGTAACAGTCTTTTTAAGTTTAATTAAAAATTCAGTCTTGCAGCAACTTTTACATTTTAGTACAGAATAGGTAGAATTTTCTAACCTCTGAGACCATTCAATCATCAAGCTAACGGATCAAAAAGTATACAGTACAGTTGTAATGGCATATCACCATGGATTATTCCATTTTTATAATTCACACAGAAAAACAAACTAAAGCATCAATGCATCAAAGCATTAACTTTCTTCTACATTTTTGATCTAGAAGATATTTATTAATATTGGTTTTAAATGTGAAGTTTTTTTAACTGAGGGGACAGCACACTGGGCTGGATGATTATTCCCTGTACAGGGTACTGGGGATTCAAATAAAGACTGCAAAGGTCATAGCTCCACAGGAACAAAAGTCTTAAGATGCTAAAGCTAGGAGAGCACACTAATAAGTAAGAAATACTGTAAGTTAGTTAGTATATTAAGAAATAAGTATTAAAAACATGAGAGGCATATAAGGTTTGTCATCGTGACTGTCAACTAAGAGACCTTGTCTTATTATTCCTGCAGTATTCTGGAATAATAACTGCATTATTTCCAGTTATTATTCCTACATACCTGAAGTAGCACTTGGTTCAGTTTTCGAAAAAAGAAGTATTGCCTACAACTTCCAAATGTCACCAGCACAACTCAGTGCTGACAAATGTTGTAGATTTGATACTGTATTTGTATTGCAATAGCTTCATCTTTGTCTCTGGGAAGAAGGGCAAACTGTTACATTGCTGCACATTTTCAGCAGAACAGTGGGGCAATGGACTATGACATTATTGGTCATTGGAGATAAAAATCAATTCCCATTTCTGCAAGTTTGAATTCTTCAAGTTCTACAAGATAAAGCTGTCAACCAGGTCAATGAGGCTACAACGAAGCAACTGCAAATCATTAAACTGTCATCATAATCTTATTTTCTATATCAACAGCTTGCCCAATATTTAGATTTAGCATATATTTAATACAAACACTGTACCTATCTACATTACTCTAAATTATTCTCTATAACACTTAGCCATTTTCTGATTAAGTTAAAAGAAAAATGTGAGAGATGACTGGAGCCCTGACACTAACTAGCGCTACAAGTACTAGATTAACACATCAAGAATGCTTCACACTTGTCTAACGAGATATTCAAAACAAACGTGTTTTTAAATATTATGCACGTGGCTAATAACCACCGTTTCACTATCGTAGCTTACATAGCAAAGACAGTGCAGACGAAAACAGAAAACAAAGGAACTAATGTAGGAAACATCTGGTTTACCTTCACGTAAACTAGAGGCAAGAATTTCTTGGTTCTGTATTTAGAAAAAGCAGCATACGGCTAAGGTTGAAGAGAAGAGCAGCATTAAATCTTATGTTACTTATAGTGCACTGAGTAAAGCCCAGAATATCTACATCTCTCCCAAGACACCTGTTAAAACACTACAGCTTATGAGCGTGCTGGTTGCCAGGGGCTGTATGTATTGCTGTTGGACCAGTCAGGCTGTGTCTCAGCGGCTGAGGCTGCCCAGCCGACAGACCCCTCCTTCGATGGCGAGCGACTGTCCGGCAACAGCTCCAGGAGGAAGTCTTGAAATGTGAGTCTGTGGAAAAACAGAGCGAGGCCAGTGTTTACCGAAGGAGACAAACACAGCTGCAGAGAAGAGGATTCTCACAGGATCAAAGCAGGCCCAGATCGCTCCACTGGTAACTGCTGTGTGCTCAGTGCCCGCTTCATCTGAGAGGAATAAAGCCCAAGGGACAAACAAGACCAGCTAGAGTGCAGCCTCTAAATACCCACACCTGCAGCACGAAGAAGAAAAATAGAGCTGACATCACGCCGGCATTAAGAGGTGTAATCTTTGTTTTTGCTTTTTTTAAGGCTGAACTCTGGCCTTTCAGCATCCAGAGACCAGCTATCACTACTGTGGAACAACATCCACTGAAGTCCAGCAACACACGGAATTACTCAAAAAACATGACAGACAAATTATTTTCTTTTTGAAGACGAGGTGGGTGGGGAAAGAAAAGAAAAATAAAATTGATTTTGTAAAAAAAAAAAAGCATTACAAATGAACCAAGTCAAGAAAAACACCAACCATGGATCTATGAAGAGAGTATTAAATTATTTCAAGAAATGTCAGCCTGGCATAGGTCTTGTATACAACAAGTCAGAAAGAAGTGATTTAACACAATTTGTGAAAAAATACTGTAAGGAATATCTTTTCATTCTCAAAATCACACAGGACAGGTTAAATAGAATAAGGCTGAGAGATGAGGGGGGCGATGGTGCCATTATGGAATAAGAAGTTTAAATGGAACAGAGATCAGAGTAGTGGGCAGATCCGACAGTTCTCTTATCGGTGAGGAACAGACTCACACTTCCCAGTTAAACAAAACGAATCCCTCTTATCTCTCTTCCGCTGGGCCTTTTTTTGTGCTGATTTGTGTTTTTGTTTTTTGTTTGTTGGAGCAAACAGGAAGGGGTACAAGTTGAGTAGTCCTGATTCGAAGTTTACACTGAAACATCTTCTGCTACACACATGCTTGCACAAATATGTGAAAAAAACAAAAGCTGGGATTAATAATGAAAAAAATAACATAGAAAGGGAAAGGAAATGTAACAAAAAAATTCAATGGGCACTTTAAAAGGCCTGTGAGTCATTAACAACACACAACAGCTCCAAACCAGAAATACCCCAAGGCTGTTTGTCCAAAGCGCAATACTGCCGCCAAAAACAACAAACCTCTTTAAGATCTATAGACATGTAACAGGTGTTACAGTACCGGTTTGAGTTTTTTAATTTCTGTTTACACAGTTATTTGGCTTAATGTATACTTTCCGTAAAATTACGTTTGTATGCTGGACTGTTACTATATTTTTAAATTTGAAATTTCTATCACTAAAGCTATTATGTAAATACCTTCTTTTGCTGAAACCTAACCATTGAGATGGGAATGATTGTACAAGGGACAGAGAGAAACAAACGTCACACACAAAAAAAGTGAATCTCCCTTCTGGTTCTGGTTCCTTGATGGTACAGAATTAAACAGCAGAGTAAAACCTCAATTTAATGGACCTAGAACCAAAAGTGAAAATCTGTGGATGCTGACTGTCCAGCAAGCCTCCACTCCACACTAACAAGGGAGTGCAGTCCATCAAATTTGCTATTTCAGGCTCTCGGTCAAGAGTTACCTAGATACTTCCCGATCCATTTTCTAAACAGGTGTAAGGGAAAGGATATCCATCATGGCCTCTGAAGGTGGTGAGAAAAGGAAGGTGGTTGATCTGAATCCAAGTCAGAAACTAGAACTTATGAAGAATCTTGGATTTAGTGTAAAAAAAAAGGGCAAAGCAAAGCTCTTTAAAACGTGATGCACATCCACAACATTATTAAGCTCTACCAAGTTAATAGATTCAGACAGTGTTCATCATTGCTTAACAGTAAACCATTTCTTCACCGTGGGGTTTGCCGTGTTGCTAAGAGCAGAGAGATCCTTGGTCGACTATTCAGACCTACTGTACCTGCGGAGGAACTTGCCCATTTCTGCGTCAGGGCTTGGGGAGTTCTTGTCACTGTCAGAGAGCGACATGACCCAGGTTCCATGATCAGATAACTATGATTTTCCATGACTACAGGTTAATATATCAATTATTTACGTAGATATGTAGCTATTTGTTCCCTTTGAGAACAGAAAAGGTTATGATAGCTTAGTTGTGTGTGTCAAAGAACTACAGCTTTACAATTTCCTTCCCTGTTGAATTCCTCCTCTTTGAGGTTTTAACACACAACAGAATTTGCCATTAAAATATAATAAATGCAATATAATCAGTCTAGCACAGGCTGAGCCCAGAAGAGCTAGCTTATAAATATGAACACATAGTGGCCCAGTTGTGTTTTAAAGCTCACTACAAATCTTACATGTTTGTCTGAGATAAGATTATGGCTTGAATGATTCACTTCACTTGCTGTCAGCAGATGTTCAATAACTACCGTAGAAGAATAATTTGTACCCCATAACCTCAGACTTGCTAGATTTATTACAAATCCTCTTTCTACTGAAGCCTAGTATTCTGGTAACCTACTTCTTGTCACTGGCAATTAAAATAGTGACTTTTTGGTTCACAGAAACCCAAAACCCCAGGGATTACACTAATACTATATCCCTGGAATGGAGCCAGTAAAAATTGGCTAGGACAAACTACAAACTGAATGCAGCACGAGGGCATTCTGTCAGTAAGTCCTAAGATTAGATCAAAGTCTTCCAGAGGAGATTAAAAGACTAATTTCTACCCGGTATTGAACACAAAACCTCAAAGCTTAATTACAAATAACAGCATGGAATTAATACAGGTCCCATAAACGAGATGTAGGACAGGAGCAATCATCATTGAATTCTTAACGAAACAACAACCATAAATTGTTCAAATATGGACAACCGTCTCAAAATAAAGTAATATATTTTCTATTTTTTAAAGCAGAAAAAAACAGAGGAGCTATAAAATGATTATTTCCTGATCATTTCCCTGTTCGTTTCTGAACTGAAACATATTTCCTATGACATTCAGCAGAATAAAAACCTCAAGCTTTACCTGAAGATGAATATGGTTTACAAATGTGAGAAAAGAGAAACGCCATTCATGTTTTTGGCCAACAATGAAAAGTACTGTATATAAAGACTACCTGCTGTTAGCACAGCCTGTGTTTGGTTTTTGCAAAGCGATGCAAGATTGTGACAATTTAGAAGGGTTGATAATGGAACACACAGGCTGACAGCAGCCTTCTTGCAAATATTTGTCAAAATGTTCTTAAGAAAACAATGAAAAAATGTGTTAATCCCTACCTATACAACTGTTATTGCAAAATGGAATGTCTATTTATTATCAGTGCAAAGACTAATCAAAGGTTTTTTTTACATATCTGCTGCTTTAGTTTTACAGACTGGCTCAGAATTCTAGTCCCCTGGTGAACTACATGAACGGAAACCAACAAGTATTTTCTGCCGGACAATAATTAGGGAGCTGGTGTTTTCTGATACAGAGTTGCACTCTTTTAAGACAGGTGTGATACAAATTATAGCTGAATAGGGATAAACCCACAGCAAATAAATACATTAAACAAAAGTGAAATTTGTGAGATTTGATCAAATGTGCCCAATTGTGTTTTGCATTCATACAGATCATGGTATCAGTATATAAGCTATTACGTCTGTATAAAGAAAGGGAAATTTAAACAATCGGTGCAATGCTTGCATTTATTTTTAATTATCAGTACAGGCCAAACAATATACAAATAGTTGGGAAATTAACAGTAGTTATACATTGATCCTTGAAGATTTTCTTTGCTGTCTGAATGTTATAAGAAGGCTCCATGCAGAGCTGGCTAAATCAAATCCTTTAAAAGCATTAGTTATTTGTAGCATGTATATTATTTACCACAGAGATCACCATCTTCTAAATTATGACCAACAAATCTACATTTTCCTATCAAATATTTTATGAGAAAATCTGGGTAGTTACTGGGGGTTCAGAAACTGCAGACAGTCCAGATTGTACAGGCATTTTCTTCACCTATTATAAAAAAAACACAACTAAAAATAATAACAATTTTTTTGCACTTTTCCTTGATGCCGTGTTATACAGTTGCCCACACAGGCATTAAAGCAACACAAAGACAAACAGATAAACACAGATACATAGGTAAATGGACACGTAAGTCCAACGTAAAGAGGAACTGAAAATCAGCCAACAAGCTACAGTACGTATCATTTATCTTTTACATGTAATGGGCCAGAGAATTCAGGAGTTTAACCATGGCAGCTTCTCTTATTACCCACCTTTACATATTAAAGGCTTATGTACAGATCCTGACACTAGTGGAATGCACAAAGTGCTTCAAGTGAAACTGCAGTTGTAGTAAATTTTCCATCTTGTGTTACAGCTTGCTGTAACGATGCTGCATAATCATGTAGGTAGAAAAGGGGAACATTGAAGGAAATGTTTCACTACATTCTGGCCTTTTCTTCAATCTTACTACATGAACCACATTAACTTTTAAACAAAGAGTTACAGTACGTGCTGAACTGTGAAATACAGATTATTGTTAGTAACACTTTCACATGCAATCCTGTATGTTTTTATGATCGCTGCAACCTATATTTGGATTTCTGTTAGTGAAAGTCTATTTATCAATAACCATATACTGATGACCACTCAGTTAAAAAATAACACTTCTATATTTGAAATAGAAACTATACGGTTTCAATAAAAACTCTATTGTTTTTATGTAATATTTGTAATTTAATAGTAACCAAAATGTTCATCTTTTTCTACTGGATTAGTACATGAACTGAAGAATCAATAAAAACTGTCAGACCTCTCACTAGCTGAACTGAATTCAGGTCATTTGATTTACTTGCCTAAAACACAGTAAGACATAACAACCAGATTAAATCAAAGCAGATTTTGATGTCTGAAAAGAGAGGTGCCAGGAACAGCATGGTCATAATGAAACTGAACTGAGCTGAACTCTAGAGAGACCAGCGTTCCATCTGGACAAAGTTTTCACCAATTTTAAAAAGGTAAGAAACAGAATGACAATTAGTTGTATTAGATTTCTCTACAGTGTGAAGTAAGCTCTCCCTACTCATGTGAATTGAATGTTCTAGACACAGTAATTGCTTGATTTTTTTCTTCTGAAATATAGACAGAGCCATTTGAAATAAATTGTTATATTTATTTCTAACACTAGTTAAAGGACATCTCCCAATAACAAAGGTGGTTTTGCACTCTTATTGTACTTAGTGTAACAGAACACAGACGGGTTCAGATTTTGATGAAAACTTTGATGACTAAAAACCAAAATCGCCAAGTTGTTTTCTATACATCTGTGTGCTATTGTTATGCTTTACAGATCATCTCATGCCCATCCTCCTCTATTCAGGTTTTATATGGTTTCACTGAGAGTTTGATAGGTCTTCTGTCACTTAATTCAGAAGTGGGAAGTTCAGAAGTGTTGAGAGATGACCAAATATGCAAAGGCTTAGATATTCTCTGCAGTGCTACACTGTGCGTTTACATAAGGATCCAGGCCGAGTTATGAATAGTTTATCAATGATCTCTCATGTAACTAGAAGTAATGTTGTGGATCCATGATTTTCGCTTTGGCTCTCTCCACTTTTCACTGAAACAATACAAACATGCCCTCTGTCCTAAAGAGGTACAATTTCTGCACTGCTGTTCATATATGCCAAGGACATTTGCAGGAGTTTAGTCGAGGATCATGTATGACAATCTCGAAATGAACCAGCTTTTTAGACGTCAAAATGTGCTAAACCTGAAACATAACATCTCCTTGACTACAAGTGCCTGCCATCCCTTAAGGACACACTAATCTACATCACGGACACACGGCATCCATCGAACAACAAGCAGAGTGCCCTCCACTGTTTTGTTTGAAGCCTTCAGAACCCTCTAATTACACAAAAAAAGGCAAAAGTCCTTTTGATGTCTACAAAAGCAGTGTTATGTTTTGCAATGACCTTCAGAAAGAAGGAAAAGGGGAAAAAAGAAAGGCACACAACAAGAAGAAAAAAATATGCCAAATGTTTTCAATACTTGAAAAATGTTTTCCTGAACCGCAAGCTACACTTGTAATTCCAAAGCAGCAGCACGTCTTCAATTTGGACTTGCTCAGAATACAACGAAATTCCTGTCTGTATGACAGAACAGATTATTTTTTGATCAATAGAAGTCGGCAGCCTAGGCATTTGCGGTTTCTCTCTGGAAAGCATTTGTGGCCACAAGCTCAAAGGAGGAAGAAAGAAGAGGGATTAACTCCCTTCAAGGAAGGTCAAAAGCATAATTTAAAAGTGAACTGAGAGGAGCAGCTGTGTCTGTCAGCCCAGCAATATGGAAACAATGTATGCCAGATGTCAAAGAATGCAGTTGTAAGCAGGCAAACCTTTCGTTCTCTCATATTTTGATAAAAGGTGAAACCTCCTTATAGCAGGTGTTCATATCCAGCAACATAATGCCTGAGCTCCATCCCATTGCTCTGCAGCAAAAGTAACTTTGAACACTGTTAGCTATATTCAATTGCAGATATACAGTAGAAGTACTGGCACCTTCCATCTGGAACACTGTTATTCAGCGTTTATCAAATGTAATCTCATATTTATATGACAGCGTTTAGTCAACAAGGATGCCTCTGAACAATTTTTTTCTAAGAAGCAGCAGATTGACCGTGAACTAAATAACAGAACCTTCTTGTTCACAGCTCCCTTGACCGCCCTCAACAATCATCCACACCAGGTACTTTCCCCTGCAACAGAGCTCACTGCATCACCTGCAACTACATATCTAACACCACATTCATTCAAGGCCCCTCAGTACAATTCCGGGTCACCCAGGTGACCTCTTTTATCTCCAGCAAGCTCATTTACTGTATCTCTTGCAGGAAATGCCCAGCTATCTACTTTGTGGAAACCGGAAGGAGACTAGGAGACCACTTCAGAGAACATGTTAGGACTGTTCTCCTAGTCCATAGTTTCTCATTTCACCTCAGACGGCCATGATCACACTGATCTCTCCGTCTGCATTCTCAAAGAAAGGTTTCTCAACTCCCAAAGTAGAAAGACATCAGAAACAAAAATGATCCCGAAACTTTGTTCACACCTTTCCCCTTCCCTCAATGACAGACTTGTTTTCATGTAATCTTCTCTATTCTCATGCAGGTTTCGACATCACCACTCTCTTCACCACTCCCCACTTCACACCACCTGAGTGGCCTCTCTGCCTCTCCCCTGCTCCCGCCTTCTCCACCCTCCCAGCTTTTGTTCTTCTGTGCTATTTAATCTTTGCTGTCTGCCCTGTCTTTCTCACACCCGAAGAAGGCTCCACATAGAAATAATACTTTGAAGCCTGATTCTGCTGCATGCTTTAGCACAACAATACACTGTGAATTAATATTACGGCTTTCAGCATTTCAAACAGTGAGGGACCCACCCTGGAGTTGTGACAAAATCAGCACACAAAAGACTAAGTTCATATCCAGGTCCATTTCCTTTCCTATATTATGCGAGATGTTTCAATAGGGAAAACTTCATACAGAACTCAAAAATTGACTATTCATTTTCACAATTTCAATGAATGACAAGAATTAATCAATATAGCAGCTAGTATACTGTGTTAATGGGTATTAGAATGTAAAAGGTAACTGTATGCAGTTGACCATGTGTCATAAAATGTATTTTGTCAACTTAAATTGTTGCTAATGATTCTCATACTTATAACCCTTCAAAAAAACATGAATCCCAGAGCAAGAAATATTTGCCAAACAATACAGCAGGTTTTTATAATATTCCTATTGAGCCATAAATCCACTGTAAGGATATCAAATTTTACTTTAGATGGAACAGATGAAAAATAAAACTCAGAAGATGGGGATCACTGCAGGCGAAAACATCCAGAGAGATTTATTATTGTAGTTTTGCTTGTTTTGATTATTTTTACATTAATTCAGCTTTATGGCTGGTCTTGGAGCCATTTTTGTTTAAGCACTGTTGGAAAGACACACATATCAGGGTGTGCGGATTTTACAGCTACCATAAAGTATGAAACAAGCAGTTAATCACGGCGCTTAGTAACTAAAGTCTTTTGTGTCTAAAATGCAAAAAAAGTTAACCAATACATAAAACCTGTTACATTATATTGTACTCAGAAATTAATTCATAAACAAATCTAGATTTCATGGTGTCATTAAATTTTGGATTTAAATCCACTAAAAAGTAGTTTTGGCTTGTCATACTATTCTATACAATATTGCTTGTATTTTCCTACATGCTGTTTGACAAAAGATTTTAGTCCTAATTCTGCAAGCAATGAAGCTCTTTCAGTAATATTATTCAGTCCACTATAGGCAAAATAATACAGGTCAAATACTAAGCTGATAATTCTGTAAGAATTGTGATTTGGAGTTCAGGGTAAAATTTATAATAGCTTTAACATTACATATTCCGACAAATATGTAAACTCAGGGAAAGCCATCACACCAAAAACTCAGTGCAAATGATCAATTAATGTTAGAGAAAAAAATAACTTATTACAAAGTCCTTTTTTCATCTAATAAGCAGTCGTCAATTCCGGAAAAGTTTTATGTAATTTCGACAAGGCCTGTAGCTAGTCTATGACTCACAAAGAAAATTATACTTATTCTGTTGATTCAACAAAATCCCCAACTTAAAATTAATTATTAAAAAAGCATGCAAAGTTTAAAATTAACATTGCCCCTTAGCACTTACTGAAATCGTAAAATCTACCATAATTACCATTTTAATTTTCTCAATATGTTTACTACTTGAAACCTGAGATGAATAGAAGTGTATTTTTTTCTAGAAAAGCTTTTGTATACTTTTGTGACTGGGGAATCTGAAACAACAAGGCAGTTGTGTCTGTGTTTAAACAGATGACGGTGCTTCTGCTCATTAATCCAAATTAAACCGACATACATATTATGTAAGAACAGTATTGAACATTAGGCCTCCAGGTGGACTGTTATACTGTATGTTGTATCAGTAAAATGCATTCACAGAAAAAAAATTGGGGTATAATCTGGAAAAATAAGGACATCAGAGAAAGGACTGTTTTCATTTGAAGGTCTTTGTTGATAAATATTATTACCCAATAAAACTACTGCCTGATGATCCAATATTCTTCAGAATTCTAATTTCACTAAATTTATTAATGGCTTATTTGTTATATTGATTTACATTACTTCACAACTCTGTGCATCAGTAAAAGTTTGTCTCAATATTCCTTTTTATCTTTTTTCTAGAAACAAAATTTGTTTTGTCTTGTGATATATATTTCCTGCGAACATCAGACGTTGCTATTACTTATTGCTTTATGACGGGTGTAGGCCAACATGAAAAGACACAGAGGAAAAAATGACAAGCATAATGGTATTCACTAAAATTTCACAAGAGAGGTTTAATATTCATTTGTGTCCTCTGTATGCACTGAGGACTAAATAAATGGAAGTACAGCAACACAAAAGGACACCAAGTCCCAACATTGAAAATGGAGTCAGTATTAGTTTGCATAGCTGACTTGAGTCATTGTTTCTTTGTTCTAGCTTTGGGTCCATCAAGCTTCAGAACTCTTTCCAAAGACACGCAACTCTGAGGCAACTCTAATTCAAAAGCTTAGTGCTCTGCTGGGTGCTTATTAAAAACTCACCTTGGCTTTGCCATCACGAGCTGACATGTATCCAATACACATGCTTTCTGTTGTATGGCTCCACAGGAACTCCACTATAAAATGAAATGCAAACAGAAGTATATATTACAGAAGGAAATTTGTGGAATAATCCTGTTTAAGGCTGCGAGGCATGACTGATCTCACCCAAGAGAACTTAATATCTACACAAAATATTGGATGTGCAGAGTTCTGCAGAGGCTGTGAAGCGACATACACGAAATTTATTCTATTAATATAGCATAACAATCGGTATATGCAGGAGCCTGTTTAAGAAACAAAATCCGTTGTATTGGAATAGTTCTAAGCAAGTAATTACAATAAATGCTTTTGGTAACGAGATTGTTTTGTTTAATTGTTTAACTGTTGTGAAAGATATTTTGAGGAGTACTGGCATTTAATGAGGAATCTGAAGGCTAGAAAAGCTTGACAGAGGAAAACCTGATGACCGATTTGGGTTAACCCAATGATTCCTTAAAACTGCTGCTTTTTTTGGTGTCCTCAGCTCAACCAGATTTTCAAATTAGATGCAGATAGAAAGCTGCCCAACTACACAGATTAATGATTGGACATATTTTGATTGAATATTAATTAGCTTTGACCATTTCATAAAGATTCTAAGGCTATGAAATGGGCAGATCCAATTAATATCCACATGCGCTGTAATTCACAGTGTTATCTATTCTTAAAAACTCTGCAACCTTGACTGGCAGTTCCTGTTAGAGACACTATAAGAAAGAGAAATTAATACACATACTTTACAGGCCATACTAAGACGAAGGTAGTCGGAGAACTACACTACAGCACAACAAGCAAAGCAAGCATAACAATCTGACAGCTGCAAAACTCTGGCTCTTCTTTAAAAGGAAAGTAACCTTATCTCTCTGCACCTACAATTCCAAATATGCCAATTCAAAGTTAGATAGGAAAAGTTTTTGGAATTAAAAAAGAATGACAAATCTGACAAATTCTGTGTGCTTATCTTATCCACTTATCTCAATCTGAAGCAGCTGCAGCCTAATTCAACTCAACAAGTAGATTTCTTAAAATGAAAATGTGAGAAATCCTTTGAGGGATGCACAGGAGTGAAATAATAGCAACTATACCTCAGTACTACAATCTCCATTTTCCAAACCAACAAAATACAACTCCCAGTTCTCTGCAAATACCAAGGAATAAGAACTCACCAACAGTTAAGAAGTATTGTATACCATATGTAACTATCCTGTTGGTGAAGATAATATAAATGGAATATTGTAATAAGTAAATAAGAAAAAACTAAATTCTAGTGACCTACAGACATCGTGTATGTTTGAATTACTATTAACAATTTATTTTTAGCACATACATCCTTCACCAGGATGAATTAGAATATAGGACATGTAGGAGATTAATAGTAAGGACAAGGAACAATTGTGCAGGTATAATAAGGCAACATTCAATAATTTATTTGCAAATATTTATTTAATGTAAAGATGAATTGTGTTCATGGCAAAATATAAACAAATAATTAGAAACTGTTTTCCACTACACACAGATAAATTAAATGTCACCTCTTCAATGTAATTCTGCCTTTTAAGATGCAATTGTTAACCCTTAAGAGAGGACATTTTTTAACAATGATAGTAAATCATTGTGCTATTTTGTTCAAAACGTTGTCTCTTTCAAACAATAGCTCTTTGTTGTCTTTTAAATTCTTTGCACTTGGAACACCTGCTTGTACCTTGTTGTATTTTTTTATTGCATCCATTAAAAACAGCTTTTTGCTATGTTCATACTGAAAGAGCCAGCTTTTCACATAGTACTATACAAACTGTGTCTGGCATTTTGTTGATAAATAACAGAATGACGTTTTATACAATAAGAGAAAAACAAATTTGGTATCACCTCAGCGTAACATAAAGACAAAGTCATGTTACAATGCTGTTTATAATAAAACAGTACATTTCTGAATGGATTGTAACCCTGATCTACATAGGTATACATGACCTGTTATTAGTCAGTGTAGGGAGTATCAAATTTTCAGACATTTCCTGAAATGTCTTGATTAAAGGCACGTTCACACAGGGTATATTTAGTTCAAAATGATATAATAACTGCTGAGTTTGTTTTGAAGTGAACCTTAATTTGTTTTCTTATTTAATTTGCTTTTATTTAGGGGACTCAGTACATTTGTATTCACACTGTAGTAATCAAATGAGTTCAAGTTATTTCTACACCCATTGTTTATACTGTTATATTTGATATATTTTTTTAGGTCTTGTCGTGGTTTTTGTATTTGGTCAAAAAACAAGTGCCTCTCATTGGAATGCATTTTCTGTAATACCAGGAAAGGTTTTTTGAAGGCCTATTATAATCATATAATTCATTTTCTGTTTTTAAAATGAACCAAGTCCCTTATTCAATCCACAAGAAAAGCTCAGGAACTGCAAAGTGACAAAAGGTTTGTAAATACAGTAGTAATTACTTGCAGTTTGGATCACAAAGATAAACCAAAAAACAAGTGTGTAGTTTATCCAGAGGGGCATTCCGATGAGTGTATGAAACAGTCTATTAGAGAGGAACTAGGAAACTATGCACGCAGACTTAGTTGTAAGAACGAATTAATATTTTGTAAGATACTGCAAATTTCAAATAATACCAGGAAGCTGTCAAATGTACCTTAACAGAGTTCAGAAAAAGAAATGACGACAGGCTGCATGTCAAGTCACAGAAATACCACTTTCAGATAACACCGCTAAGAGATGAAATGTAGAAATGGCACTAGACATAGAGATGCAGTGAACGCACTGAAGACAGATTCTGCTTATGCACTTCAGGTAGATCAAACCACGCCTTCTGGAAAACCTTTAGGCATTCTAGTTGGTGTATATGTATGACAAATAAAGTTGCCCCTCTGGGGATTTGATCACAAATCAGCCAGAAACTCTGGCTTCAAAGCCATACAGCTCCAATCCCCGTACAGCAGTGAATTCCAGATAACCACAGGATCGCGCCTGCTGTCCAGGTTTCCATGGGGATGACATTGACTTCCGTAATGGGCTTCTTACCAATAAGCCCTGTTACAAATGCATCTACGAAAAAGTACATATTTGTGCACTGTGGTATGTATATGTGTGTGCGTACTTTGCAGTCATCATCAAATCTCTCTGTTGGAGGTCTTTCATCAAGGCAAGGCGTGAATCATAAGTTAGATTCTAAGTAAAACAGGACCACCTGCTTTGATACACACACATTTTTATACACCTGTAAACCCAGTACAGGAAAAGCTAATGAAATGGAAGTCCCCCTCATTCTGAATAATAAGAAAAGCATTAGGTTCACACACAGTGTTTCTCACCTAAGAGCGCCTGAACATCTGGAGAGGACTCTTCCGCCACACACCTGCAGCTTCGCAGGACGATCACACCCCCGAGAACACAGTCTTCACTGGATAAGAAGGGGGAACCTGGTCACAAAGAAAATTAAAGGGTTTACTTATTGAAGCACTTGATGAATAAGTACTGTGTTAAGTAAGCATTTATATTTTATTGGTTAATCATTCATTTGCCTAGGATTCGACAGGGATGGGCTCAGGCTCTTCCGTGACCCAGTATTAGACAGAGCAGTTAGAAAATGGATGGATGGAGTTATCATGTGTCCTGGAATTGTTCGTGGTCACTTGCAAGGAAATGTTCAAGAAAAGAAGGGATTATTAAAAGAGTTTTCAAAATAGAATGAGAGGAAATGCACAACAGACAGGTTTTTAACCAGTTGCAAATGTTGTAGGTGGCAGTGCAAATTGGATTAGTTGTCTTATAGGTGGTATATTGGAATATGTCTTTTGGGAGTATATTCAGACAGTAGCGGTTCAAAAGAATGGAAAACTACACTTTCAGCAGAAATAATTACAGATTATCATTCAGGACACCAAAAACCAGAGATATAAAACATGCAGTATAATGTGTTATTATTGGAGAAAACTGGAAAAATAAGAACAGGAACTCCTTGACTTTCACATAATATATCTAATGAACGCAAAATAATATAAAATAATAATAAGAATAGTAATAATAACAAGTAATAAGAATGCACACCACACAGAAAGTGCAAAAATGTTAGCAATGTATACAAATGGTTCAGAAAAATTAACTTAGTTTTAATTTAAAAAGTGGAAGAATAGTTCTAGCCTACAAGTCTAATATGTCAAAGACTAAGGTTAGTAAAGTGCTATGGTCTTTCCTATGCAAAGAAAAGTGATAGGAACACAGAATGTTTAAGAACATACATATAATAAAACAATTTACACATGAAAGATTCACACAGCCATGATATACTGTACAGTGCTGCGGGTACTTACAAGAAGTTTACTTACTACCTTTGTAAGTGGTGTTGCTTGAACTTAACACCTCCTCCAAGATTCTCCTGGGATACTTTCAATCTTGAAAACAGTCGTACAAATGTTCCAAAAATATGCAAGCTTTCAAGAAAAGGCTCAAATGACTACTGTGACCATTTATGACCTGAAGTGCTCTGAGTCACAACCCCTTTCACCAATGACTACCACCTGTTACAAGAGATCCAGGAGAAACTACTATTGCCAAAGCTCAGCCGTGGAGCATCCACAAGTATTCAAATATATCCCAAAAAGTGCTTAATATGCAAGAAGGTGCAATTTAAATAATCACATTAGCATAGTGTTCTGTCAGAAATAAACCACTCACAAATACAAAGAAATCTTTCCTGTTATTTCTTTAAAGACATGCATATATAATTTAAATTGCAGAGATCCTGCAGTTTCTTTGTATGGATCACAGAACAAAAGCAATGTGTGTGAACTCTGTGTATTGCTTGGGCAGTATTTTTGACAGTGCAGCTTATCTGCAAAGTTCCTTAGCACAAGAACTTTCAATAGAATGTAATGTATTACACGTTTTGCTAAATCTTATAATGTCAAAATCAGAATGAGATGTATGTAGCTCACATATACTGTATCTGACACCAGCTTAGAGGTACTATAGTACCACTGCAATGCTTTTATAGTCTTTTTACAGCTGGCTACGTTCCTGATTTTTGACAACCAGCTCAGCCTTCTATCTTTATTTATAAAGTTAAAAACGGGAGATATTGTTTTGTTCACGTCTGTTACTGTTTCTCTCCATGTGATTCCATTTTATGATTTGAGTTCTACACAATGATACAATATCTCCCCTCCAGCACTCATGATTAAAGGCCAGATAATTTTTTTACTTGGATTCTATTAACAGAAAAGCTTACACGAAGCCAAAAAAAAAGTCTCTAAACTGAGATTTCTGAAGCATTTTACAATATCTCTGCATTCTAATATGCCCAACAAATGTTTCAGTCTTCACCTTTTTATTTTATTTATCTAAAAAAACATTTTCCACAGCGTCACCAGTTCAGAACCACTTGTTTGCATCTGTAGTACAAAAAAGGGAAAAACAATGAAACCAAGAGATCAAAATAAATAAACCCATTTGACTCTGGTTTGTCTGTGACTTGCTACTTAAAGAGATGCAAATACCTCAAGTCAGGCTTTACTTGGCACTGGGCCTCACAGCCCCAAACTGCGGCAGTGCTACAAATAGCAGTACATCTCCACTATGGATAGACCTTCACACGTCAAACAGAAACACATCCATCTTCTGCTGGATATATTGCTTATTTTCCCCTGAAAGACTCATTCAGCCATTACCAGGGGGCACTCTCTCTGAAACTCTCTCGCCTTTATCAGCTTCTGCAATCTAGCCCACAGTTAGCATTTTCAATAAAGAGGGCAGCTTGTAGCAGACGTTGCTGTGAATAGACTGTACAGCTTTGATGGCATTCTTAAACGTGTTGAACTCCATCCCCCTGGAGACACAAATGAACAGCTACTACACAAAAGTCTTATAAGCAATCTCAACATCAGGCTAAGGCATTATTTGTATTTTGTTCCTGGAATTATATTTTGTGCAGGGATTCGGCAATAGTACTTGCAGCAGGGGATGGCACAACTTTAATGGTGTTTTGGCTTAACATTTCCCTTTGCGTAGATTTTGATGATTACACAAACTGATCTGGTATTTTATGTATAAGTGGAAATCCTAAATAGACAAACAGAATAAGCAAGGTGTTTTCAACATGGGAAGACAGGCAAGCACCACAAGGTGAGTAGAATGGGATTACTGAAGACATGACTCTTCTTTAAACTGCAATGAACATAAGTCACCTAAAGCCTCCAACAAGGATAATGAAGTGACAAGGAAAGGTTGTACTGCCCGTTGCATTAAACCAGAAAGGCATGCATTCTGTTAATACTACTTCTTCTGACATCTTTTCCATTAAACATCTATTAAATATTAAATAACATTCACAGTCATCCAGGAATCTATTTGTATTCGGCACGACATGGAGGACAAACTGTTTTCTCTGGAGCTCTGGAGGAGTTTGTATGTGTTGCTTGCACCCAGGTTGTCATAGTCAGGGTCCTTGCATTTCAGACTAGCTGATTCACCAGGAATCCTCAACTACCACTTGCTAGGATGAGCCATCCAACCATTTTCTAACCTCTTCTTCTAATTCAGGGTCGCAGGGGAGCTGGAGCCTGTCCCGGCAAGCAAGGGGTCATAAGGCAGAGTGCCCTGGACGGGACACCAGTTCATCGTCCGGCAGACGCAGACTTGCATACACTCACAGCCAGAAGGCAATTAACCTACCAGTATGTTTCTGGACTGTGGGAGGAAACCAGAGCAACCACAGGAAACTTATGTGAACAAGGGAGAACATGCAAACTCCACACAGATTGCACCCCAGGTCTGGAACTGAACCCAGGGCCCCAGTGCTGCGAAGCACCAATGATAACTGCTGCACCACCATGCTGCCCATGAAATAGTATTCCTTAAACTAAGAAAAAAGCTCTCACTCAAGCATTTAGATTTTGTGTTTTGGAATTGCCAACCTCTAGAATTATTACTTTTTCTTGCACTCACAACCACCCAACTGACAAGATTTGCAAATAATACTGATAAAGCGGCTTGGATGCATTCCGATAGTAACAGTCAAAATACAGCATACTGTGAAATGGGTTTATCAACACATTATTTCAGTGGCATTTTTAAATGAAAGGTGACATTTCTCAATACAGTCTAAACAATTTAAAGTACATTTAACGGTTGAAACGCACTTTAATTGGCCTTTTTAAACAATATTGTTCTGAGAGTGAAATCAACTCTAAAACTGCACTAATGTTATTTTTGTTAACTGAAAACATTACAAATGAAAAATATTCTGACATAGGCCAGACAGGAAGTATACTGTAGGCTTTAATACACTATTATATAAAATTTAGCACAAAGCTACACTATAAAAAGGATGATAGATAAAGGGCATTTTTCAAATCCTTTGTGTGGATCTGACTATTATTTTTTAACAAGTTACATAACAAGAAGCAGCAGCTATTTCCAAACCACAACTTCCTTGTTTTATTTAACTAAAACAAGCTTTAATACGATTAAAATGAATTTTGCAACACAGGACAAGAATCTAATTAGCTGAGGAGTATACAATTGTTCCTAAAATCCCTCGGATTGTCCTTACTTTACACTCGGCCATGTAAAATCAACACTAAAGCAACAGAAATTAAAACAGGCCAAAGCAAAACAACCACCAATTGTTTCCATATATAAACCACTGCCTTTTTACTTTCTTTTTGTGAAATCCAAATGAATCCAAATGGTCATTTCTTTTCATAGGCAAAGAACTGCCAAGGAGAAAACCTATAAAACACATTGACCACTTCTGAGAGACAAATCTTTAAATAACCTGTCAACAAAATACTTTTGTAGTTTTAAATGCCTGTGGCTGTCAATTCTTAAATAATGGAACAGTTCCAGTTATGAATATATATATTTTCATATTTTTCACGAGCCAAAGACAACCATTTTCAGTTTGCAATTTACGTTATTTTTTATTTGAACTGAACCCGAATTCTAACACCTCACTCCAGTTTGACATTGTCAACTGGAAAAACGGAAAACAAAATTACTTAGAAGCCACGCAGCACTTACCAATGAATTTATTTTGCATAGTCTCTAGCAAGGCATGATGAGCATCTTCATACTGCATGGCTGCTGAGCATTCCCTGGCAAGCATAGTGCGAACAAGGTGCTCCCCACAGCCTGTAAGAGAAGAATGCTGTTCAGTGGTTTGTACACAAGACCCTGGAATGTCCTGAAGACTGCAAGCACACAAAGATGAACCAAGAGGTAATATACTATGATCTAATTTTAAGGAAAATGGCAAGGAATCATGTAAATTGGTTACATTTTAAAATCATTCTGTACTGTAACCCCTTTCCCTAAAAAGCTTTCCTACTGCGTAGTAATGTTATTTCAATCTACTTGAATGTACTTAAGTGTGCTTGATGTATTTGTTGTGCTAACCGTGCCAAATATCACAGGAATCAAACTAGCTGCCTTGCATTTTTTTTATGAGATTCATTTGCAGAAGTTCAGTAAACACCCCTCTGAAAAGAATTTCAATTTTTATCTTCTATCTAGCATTAAAGTTCCAAAACATTAGGCTTTTTATTCTTTATCCAGCTGAGATGTTTGGGCCATTCAAGCAAACATTCAAGAACATACTGTGGCTTTTTGAGTCTCTGATTTTTGACCATGGAACACAACAGAAATCTCATAAGAATTAAAGGCAATATGACTTAAGGAATATGTACCCCTGAAAAGCTTCCTTTTTCTCTTCTTTAATGAAAAGCGCAGATTAACTCCAATCCCTCTAGTACCGCTTAACCCCAGAGAGGTCAAGAGCCAGTGTTTTCAGAAGTTTCTCGGCTTCCTTGGGTTAAATGAAGCCCTTTGCGCCATAAATCAGAGACACACCTGCTAGCATTTACCACAAAGTTAGGCTCAACAGGTGTTTGCTTTACAACTGTACAATCTCTGGGAAAATAATGTCATATCTAGCATATATCATGGTTTAAGATGCTATTCTCTCTTTTTAAGACCATGATCAAACAAAGATGTAGGAAGCCAGCAAACAGCAACAGATGGGCTGAACAGATGACTCTTGGGGGGGAAAAAATAGCTCTCCCTTACTTTAGAGAAACATCTTCCATTTTCTTAAACAAGGGCTTTATATAACCATTCAAACACTAATAACGTCTTTCAAACACAAGTGCGGGACACATTTCATAGCTGTCAACCCATAACCATCACATAATCCTTTGTTCGTAATTTAACGCAAAAGAGCAGATCTGCCATGCTTTCTTCACAGTGCACAGCCTGCAAGACATTTCTCAAAGCTAATTATGTCTAAAGGATATGAATATCATAATGTTAGCATACTGACTTGCAGAAAAACAAGAAGTCTTTAAAAAATCATTTTATTAAGTCAGTTGGATTTGAGTAATGGGGACTGATCATAAACTGTGATGAGTGTTTGTGCAGTGACCTCAGCGGTGAATTTTGTTGCAGCTTTAGTTTATATCTCAAGTAATGGTTACAATGCTTCTCCAATGTACAAATCTATAAGCCTGCCAGTTTTCATTTTTTAACTTCTTTTCTTGGGACTAAGTAGACCATTTTTATACAGACACATTATCCTCCTTATATCTCATAAAATGAAGATTTTCCTACAGGATGTATTTCTTTTTTTCCCCCGCAATTGTTAATTCTGAGCAAAGCAGATTCACAGGCTGACTATCAAAGGCATTCTGTATGGTATTCACCATTTCAAGACACAGGACACTGCATTGTCCAGCACACTGAAGGACCACGGCTCTTGCTTTTCACATATGGCAGAGTTCACATCCAAACAATAGCAAGCTTGTTGAGCACAGAATACCAAACTAATGGGCCACAGAGCTAGAATCAATCTCTGTCGCCTCCAATCAAAGACCATTAGAAACTCGGTAACAGGCATGGGCTCTAGGTTATAAGCAAACAATGGTATTTCAATGTAAATCCCTGTTGCTGTTGCCAGGTATTACAAAAAACAAAAACATGCTCTATAAAGCAAAAACAAAAATGAAATGGTGGTACTGGGTATCATAAATTAGCAAAAGAGGGGATGAAAAAATGTAAGGTATTATTAGTACTGTTAACCTATTCACTGCTAAAGTGTGGTATGCTGAAGGAGTGTTTCTGGGGCTACAGAGCTGAATGATCACACACTGTTAATTAACTACTACTCGGTAAAATACACCAAAGCAAATCAGTAACAAAAGATATAAATGTATCACATAAACATATAAAGTGATTTTGAAAACTTACTCAACACATTGTTAAATATACATCTTACTGTTAGATATTTGAAACGCAAAAAAGCAATGCCAATTGAGGCAAAAATTGGGAAGAACCAGAAAGGGGGAAAAGGAGAATGGAACAAGCGTCCTTTGGAGCCAAAAGCAAAAAGCAACATAAAAAAACCTGCATTAGTTTGCCGTTGTTAATTTTCTAGATTATTATTGTTAGCCAGTTCTAATACAGTATAAGACTCCATCCTGGAATCTTAACACTAGCTGGGCAAGAAACATTGCATAGAAAAGAGGTCACTTTTGCAGATTTAAAAAAAAAACATGTCAATCAAAGCTATAAATAAATCCGTACATTTGTGTGTATTTTTAAATATGTGCATGTAAAGTGGTCAAGTCTGGCTGCCCTCAATTACAGTAGCATTAGTAAACAGGGTAACCACAGTATGAGGGTTCTTCAATCTTGTGGGCGTTAGAGCTGACAACCTGAGCAGTTTTATGGCTCCACTGGGGACGTCAATAATACTTAAAATGTCAAAACAACAGTTTAATCAGAGTTTCAGAACTTTCCATTCACCACATAATAACCTACTGAAAATTCAGTTGCACTGCTACCAGTTTGCGCTGTTAATAGCTTGGCTCCAAGCTCCATGCTCCATCAAGTCACCTCCCATGTCTTCAACAGCTACACATACTGTATGAATGTTAAAGTGACAACACAATGCTCTCTTGGCCTTAAAAGGATATCATTTTCTTCTAGAAAAATCATCCTTTTGTTACAAGTATTTTAAGTAGATTGAGTAAAACTGCAAGGTCTCCAGATAAAAATTAAACTTTGTGGTAAAATTAGCATAAACAGTTTTTCATCCTTCTTCTTTCAAAAGAAACGCAACCGCACGTACTTAAATAAATTACTGAGGTTGCCAAGTTAGAGCAGTAGGAAGTTATGTTTTAAAAAAACTATGAAGTATCATGTTAATATTTTGACTTAAATTCTACTTACAATTATAGTTCAGGGATGTTTTGAAACATTTTTTCTGAAACTGGTTTTCAGACAAAAAATATCAAGTGTCTGCTATTGGTTGGATTATTAAAAATGATGTTGATTAAATTAAATTAAATCAAGCTATTCATTTTTAGTGCCTGGATATATTAGTAAATTGTAAAATGATGAGTCATCAAATACAGCTTCTGGGATGGTTAACCTCAGTATTTAATGTCAGAAACTGTTTCTAACAAGTTGACAGTTAGAGGAGTAAAGATTGAACATTTAAAATCAAACGAACATTCAAATGTGGATGTGTAAACAAAACAGCAAAATTCAAATAAAGACTGAAGGTTCTCACATTGGTCATAATAAACACTTAAGTGATCATATCAAAATATACATCACGGTTTTTGTAGGCAATATATCAAGACTCATTGTACCTGTTTAGCCATCACCAGCACTGATCGACAAGGAAGCACAAAAACAGTACCTCCAGGAAATTAACGGCAATCTGTTCTCATTGTAAGCTATTCATAATCAGGAAAAGGTTAATTGGATTGGTATCAACCTGGCTCTGTTTACTGTAAAAAAAGTCTTCTTTGCGGTCAAACCCACAGCAAGTTTATGGTGGGTTTCACAGCAAAACCTGCTTCCACTTGCAATGCTGAGATGAAACTAGACATTGTTCATGTTGCGAGTGTGACCCCCGTCATGAGAAAAAAGAACAGCAATGCCAACGTCTCATCAATAAATCAAACTGCACCAAGAGAACAAACAGCCCGTTCGAAACGCCCACAAGCACATCCATTTTCTGCTCTGACTGGAGTTTGCGCTGGGCGAAGCCAAGATCGAGAAACGTGGCCCCTGGAGAGGAGAGGGCTCTGCTCAGCGTGTCAGAATGAAAATGATTGTTTTGCTGCTCTCCTTTTGATGGGGACGCCTTTCAAGTCAGGAAATTAAAAACAGGTGGGCCGGGGAACACACAGCCATGCCCGCTGTCCCAGTGCACGCGTTTCCAATTTTGAAACATGAAAGAAACTCGTGTTGAAAGAAGGGACGACTAAATGAAAACCCATTTCTGTTTTCTGTGTTCCACATGCAAATGTTGCCTGGTTCCCGACAAAACTACTTAATTTATGATATATTCTTTCTTCTTTCCAAAATCGAGGAGCTCCTGGAAAAGTTAAAGCACTGATGATGGGAAGGTTAAAGTCAGACACAACAAATCAGTTATAACGCAGGAGGATATAAATCATCTGAAGGGACTCAGAAAGGCAGACCAAGGCTTGGGGACATATACTGATCTTTTAATCAGAGCCATACCTCCTCATGTCCTGACACATAAGATCATTCTGTCAGCCGACAAGCATGCTGGGCTACCCCCCCATATCAGACACATATTTCAGTCCAAGGTGTATGTTCTTAGTGACCTGTGCCTTCAGGGCTGCTTGAGATCAAAACAAGCAGGACAGCACGAGAGCCATCTGTGTTGATAAGAACTTAATCTTTACCTCCAGTTACTTGACAGGTCCTCAGGTAGTCATGACCAAGCAGTCTGATGCTGTCAAAGTTCAGCAGTGAGATAATCGATCACAAAGAAATAATAACAATAAATGACTAACATTACATCTGGTTTGATTACTGCGCATGATGACTAAAATGTAATGATAATGATGCCCTTCGGACATTAGGGGGTGCGTGAAGCATTGGCTCCAACATTGAAAATTGTAACTTTTCACTTCCGTTCTGTACAAAAGCCATCATTGTTTTACTAGGTGACTGGTTGTAAAATCTCCCCACAGCACAAGGGATTTTTTTCAACAAAATCAAAAGGCTCCCCCTCTTTACAAGGTGTCAGGAAAGCATAAGTACTGTAGTGGTTTGTGCTTTTTTGTCAAGCCACACCGGCTCAGATGTGGCACCTATAGAGACAATCATGGATAATTAAACTTTCTATTAAACACTTAATAATCGCACTATTCACCAGGACTCACACATAGTTTATCATACAATGATCAACACTTAATATTCCTTAAGGAGAGGCAGTAGTGTTTTCTTTAAGACTCAAGGCCATATTTTTAGGCTTGATAAAAATCCTCCTTGATGTCAGACGCTGAAAACAAAATGCACAAAGTTGCTCAAGGTTGAGACAAAGTTAACACACACACTCAACATTTTGCAAGTATTTTTCCGCCACCACGAAATATTATTTTTACTGGCTATCCACAAACGGCAAAAGTAAAGGTTTTAAACAGGACATGTGTTCTTTTAAACAGACACATACAGTACATGTGTCTGTATGTGTCTAACCAGCAGCCATATCACCCTGCAACTCACAACTGGCAACCCACTGAAGCTAAGCAGGTGTGAGCCTGGTCAGTACC